ACCCGGTACCTAAACAATGATTCCCGCTTCCTCCGTACCAAATAGTGTACTTCCCTTCTCTCATCGAGCCCTCCCCTGGCCAGCGAACCTCTTGCAGAGCCACGTCATCCAAATTGTACCCATTTACCTCATTCGCGACCAATTTTAGGCCCCCTGCTGTGTTTAAACTCCTTACGTTCCACGTACCAATATTTAATTCCCTATATTTCAACTTGCGCCATGAATCTCCTAAAGCAGTCCCCAGCCGGAGACCCGAACGGGGAACTAGTTTACCTCCGGATAATGAGCGTTTTACCGTAGGGAGATCCATGACTATTTGTGGTGTTTGGTGAACTAAAGATATGTGAGTAGGGCGTTCAATCTGGTGGGCCCCTACCTCCAGCAAGCCTGGAGGTCCACTCCCTCCAGCAAGTCTGGAGGGCCCCTCTCATTGTTGGTCAGCGAGTCCATCGGACTTAGCCGGGAGGAACTTCCAAGGAATTTCCACCGACCATCCCCACATCCGCCACCCGTGGGACGCTCCCCATACGCGGTAATGAGCCCGCGCGAGGAATTTTTTTTATAATACATTAGAAAATTCGTGTATCAGGATAAATTTTTCCTACATGGCATAATTTTAAATCAATTAATAATCGAGATACTTAAATTATAATACTTTTTTTTCTTAGTATTTTGTGCGTACCGTAATTGTTTCAAAACATAGACGGGATCTCACTGTGCAACTATAGCCGTCAAAGTTAAAAATCGGTCAAGCCATCCGCTCAAAAAATAGTTATGTACATTTTAGCAGATTGATTAAACAAACTAATTTCAATTTGTTTCAGTAATTTCAAATTGTTTCAAAACATTGACGGGATCTCACTGAGCAACTACTGCTGTCAAAGTTCAAAATCAGTGAAGCCATCTGCTGAAAAAAAAGTTATGTAAATTTTAGCAGATTGATTAAACAAACTTTTTGCACAGTAACATACCAGATTTCGAGCCTAAATTGTTTCGAAACACCCAAGGGTCTCAGCAAAGAATTTATTATATCAAACTTAAAAATCGATCCACCCGTTCGCTCATAATATCGTTACCTAGCTTTTAGCAAATTGATCAAACACATTTTATTCAACCACAGGTAAGTATTTTGAACCCAAACTGTATCAAAGCACTTAGGAGATGTCACCGTATAATTTCAGCCATCAAACGTAAAAATTGATTTAGCGATTTGCTCAAAAAAGCGTTACATTCTTTTAGCGGATACAGCGCGCACCCCGCCCATGGAAGCTGGGAAATAAGTTCCAAAACGCAGCTATTCAAGCAAAAGAGAAATATAGGAAAAATACATCCTCATAGACGATGAATATCCTAATTTAATATAAAACAAAAATTATGATCATGACCAGTACTACCGGATCCAGCCGGGGACGCGTCCCTCTCTCCCCTCGATGGTGGGTGAAAAGTTCCGAGAAGTAGCTATTTAAAGAAAAGAAAAATATAGGAAAAATTCACCCTCATAGGCGAATTTTCTATGTAATATAACAAAAAAATTATTATCTTGACCAGCACTAGTAATTTCTACTAGGGGACGCGCTTCCTTCTGGATGTTAAAAAAATAGTTCCAAAAAAGTATCCAAAAAACAGCTATTTAAAGAAAAGATAAATATAAGAAAAATCATCCTCTAAGCCGAATTTTCTAATGTGATCGATATCATCATCTCGAGCTCGACAATTCATTACTGGATCCTTGGCTGCCTTAAGAATTTTCCTCCAGCAGCCTCCACCAGTTCCTGATTCCATATACTCTGGCATCAGCACTTACTGCATTTTCCATCTGAGTTTCGGTCTGTCCACTTTTCTTTTTCTAACCGGCTCCATGCTCAGCAGCTTCTTTGGGATTGAGGCCTCGTCTATCCGTACAACTTATCCCTCCGATCTGAGCCTAATCCGGATATATTTCACCACATCTGGCTCCTTGTATAAGTTAGCTAGTTCTTGGTTGCATCTAATTCTCCATTCACCATTCTCCTTAACTGGGCCAAATATCCTCTGAAGGACTTTTCTTTCGAAAACTATTATTTTAAGCACCTGCTTAATGAAAGAGAATAATAGGGATAATTCATCCTCATAGGCGAATTTTATAATGTAATATATTTAAAAAAATATAAAGGATGGAGACGGTCTGGGATGGCGGTCATGAATAGGCTGAATAGTGGCAAAACTGTTTTATTAACAACCAACGTTTCGAAACGACATTGCAGGTCTTCTTCAGGGAGGTGTGTTCCGGTAGGAGTTTCACTTAGAACTCCGAAGGCTGCTAAGTCCGGACTGAAGAAGACCTGCAAAGTCGGGTCGTAACGTTGGCTTTTAATAAAATAATTTTGCCACTATTTAGCCTATTTATGACCGCCACCTCGGAACATCTTCCTTTATAATGCAATGGTCAACTATTAAATATTCAGTTCTAAGTGAAAGTCCTAGCTGAACACACCTCCCTGAAGAAGACGTGCAAAGTCGGTTCGAAACGTTGGCTTTTAATAAAATAGTTTTGCCACTATTTAGTCTATTTATGACCACCACCCCGGACTATTTCCTTGCTTTATAATGCAACGGCCAACTATTAAATATTCTAGTTTTAACTAGAATATTTAATTTAGACTAAACACTATTTAATTTAACTAGAATAACACTATTTAGCTTATTTATGACCGCCACTCCGGACCATCTCCTTCCTCTATTTCCTTGTTGTTGTTTATTTTGTTTCCTGTTTGCAAACATTTTAAATATTTTTTCACTTCTTCCCAGCATATAATTAATTCCATGAGTTTATGTACCCAGGTACATTTCTCATAAATGGGTGAAATTTCGTACCTCTTAAACTTTTTTAAGCACAAATTTGATTAAAAATTCTTCCCTAAGATTTCTTTAGCTTTTTCCAAATTTTCCGAATTCATCCATACTTCACGAACATTTCTTCTGTTTCTTTTACCCTCTATTTAGCGCAGTTCAAATAGCGAAAAACACAACTTAACAACAATTTTGTTATTCTGGAAGAAAAACTATATCAAATGGTCTTTCAGTGGTCCTTGAAGTCCAAATAAACTAGAAAATTTGTAATTACAGGAATGCTAATACTTTTAGGGATAGTATTTTTATTGACAAGTGCTGTATCTTTATGAGTATAATAAATTTAAAAGAGAAAATAAACAAATATGGACCAACGAAAAAAAAATGTTGAAGAGAAGTTGATTGGGGTTTTGACCATAGTCATTCGTCTGAAATCTTTCAAACGAACGCTCTGAAACTCAGAAACATCTCCAAATAAAGGAAATAAAAGTATATATAATTTATTTATTTTTACTTGGCGTTTTGACTGAAAGCCCCAACCAATGTCTCTTCACATATCTTCAACAGTCAACAATCAATTTACTATTAGGGAAAAAAAATTCTTATTTTGGAGGGTACTTTAGGCCGAAATCCTAGATACTTCTTACATACGGAATTCTACTATGAGCGGTCCTGTTGCCACTTATGTTTATAGATCCAACATATCTGGCACTAGAAAACAAAAAACTACCGTAATTTTATGCTAAATGTTCCTAAGACAAGCCGTAGTTACGCGTCAAAGGATTGTTGAAGAGCTAGGTAAGTTAAAAATTGCTTTGACAAAACTAAAGCCATTATCTTTTCCTTTCGCAGAAGGTTCCAATCCATCGTCTAAGAACTACCCGGAATGCATGATGACACTGTCCTAAACTAGTTTGGGATCTTAAGCGGGACCATCCAGTTGCATCAACGCCTGTCATCATGGACTACTGCGGTTTCAGTCCATTCCAGAGGATTCGATATGAAGAACGAGAGTTACCACCACTTAACTCGGAAAATACCCTCAGATTGGTTCATACCCTTACGTATCTGAGCTCATACGTATGTTGGATTATATCACTCTTTACTCTCAAAAGAATGTTATGTGTTTTACGGACGACATCTTCAGCTTCTATGTAGACTAATTAGTTGAAAAACTTGATTAATTAGATTTTCGATTTGTTTTGGGTGAAATGAATATTCAAAATTATGAAAGGAGATCAGATTGGTCTTGAAGGATTCAACACTATTGGGGAGTGAAAAGTCCTTAACCATTTTTCAGAGAATTGACGATAGACGTAATATTATCGAATTCAGATATCCAAACTATTCTAATGAGAAGTAGCACGCGATTATTGGTAAATACATGATGACTAGATAATTGACAAGACCAATTGATAGGCCGTCAGTGATATATGGTGTCAATGATAATGTATATAAAATTAGATTTAAAATTATGATTACGATGATGCATCCTACTGGATACTAGTCTAACCTGTTTTGAATGATGACCCGTGAACAAATAGCGATAAACATAATATATTACAATTAGTTTTTAAAAAATGTTACCTGGAGAGGAAGTATTGACAACCAGGAGTTAGATCTCGAGCGATTAACGTGGTCAGGCGATGAAATCTTAAGATATTTTCGATTGATAAGGGATGATATAAGAAATAAAATATTCTAAGGACTGAAGTTCTGATATTGTGGATATCAAACTACGTAAATATAGGCAGACCGGGAGACCGAAATTCTGATCTTAAAATTGTTACTCGATATTATGTCGTGAAAATAATTAATAAATAGATACTTATGGTAAATTATTGGCCTACAAAACCAATAGAACATATTTTGAAACCTTTAGGTTTACATGCATTAGTTGACAAAAAGAGTCACTGTTGAAAGAGACTTTGACTAACTTTCAAATTATATTGAATCCACAGCTTAAGAAAGAAAATCTATGGCATTTCATGAATTCGGCTAGTATTAAAAAAAAAATCATTCATTGATACAAATCTGTTTTTTAAAGAATGAAGTAAAAACCACGTACGTGACTAAAATCATCAGTACTTTCTACTCTGCCCAGTAGATCTCGTTAGCTGTAGAGCATGCGCTTGACAGGTTGAGGGTCTCGATTCTTTAAGTGAGTCGGTCTGTAGTCTGTAGTGGGGTTGTTCGAATTTTCGGTCGGTCTTATCAATCCTGGAATAGATTTTTTATGAAATTAAGTATGACATTTTATTGAAGTATTACATTGTAGAATGAACAGGAAAGTCCATTCATGAATTGAAGATAATTCAATTATATCAAACTGAAAATTCATTTAGTAGTTCCTTAATCATGTTTTCTGGACTGACAAGTCAAGTATCCTCATGGATGGGGAAAAAAAACGAGGAAGAAGTCAAATCCGAAGAGCCAATAGTAGGTGAAGAATCTCCTACAGCAAATAATGATGAAACTCAGCCAGAAGCTGAGGTGAAAAAAGAAACAAGGTAGGCCACTTTCTTCTAGTAAATTTTTCAAGAAACCAATGTAATTATTTATTATTGTTATTTGTAATAATTGATAGAAACCTGCATGATATGTTGTATTTCAATAGTTACTTATTGTGTTCTTATATATATAATTTTTTTTATGTTAATCATTAAAACTATAAAGATAAGTACTTGACCAGAATCTTAAGTTAATCATTGGCAAATTAAGAAAGTCTCTATAGTTGAATTAGTTATTAATTTTTAAGTTCCAAGTATAACAGTTCGGGCCCATACAGTTGTATTCTTTCATGATAGCCTATTTATTCTTTAGCTTTCATAAATAAAATAGCATTACAATATTTTCTCAGGTCTGATCTTAAGGCTGATGTATATACATTTTAAAGATAATACAGAAAACTCATGATGTTTTAAGACTGATTCTCTGCCAACCTGTTTATCAATGAGAACATAATGTTGCCTTAATCTTTTTAAAGAACTATAAATGTTGTTTGGATAAAGATATTTTCTTTTCTATTGCATCTCTCGTATTTTATAAAAAAACTGATACACGAAATATCCTGTCTTCTATAGATTAATATATCTGTACTTAAATCATGTAATATTACATTTAGTTGCATACAATTTTAAATTTCTAATTCTGTTTTTATATTTTTGTTTAAATGAAACATTCTGATTTATTTTACTTGAAATAAGTTGAGCTTTACTAAGTTTTGAATTGTTCCAGTTTTTCTATAGTTGTTATTGTTGAAAAATTCAGGTTATCTCTCCATTGAGCTATTGGTTTCGTCTATTTATGATACATATTGATAATAAGATTTTTTCAAATGCCTTTACCCTCAGTTAATTTAATGTAAATTCTAACATTGTTATTTATATTAAAACAAATTCATGTCATCTTAATTAAATTGTGTAAAAGGACATCATAATGGCCAAGTGTGTTCGATCAATTGTGAGATGTTTATTTCACAATAATATATATAGATAATAAATGGACAGTTATAGAAAAAGTTATTTTTCAATTTAATGTTGTAAATAATTCAATTTAACAATTTTTCTTCATGTATCTATGTTTCAGTACTTTACTTCAAGTGATTATGTAGGTTAAGTAAAAATCAATTAGAAACTCTGTGAACCAGTTCTCATTGCAAGCATAAGGTTCTTATGTTCAGTGAAATTACCACTTACTTCTATGCTTAAATCTAGAAATGATTGTTTTATCCTTTCTGTCTGAAGGTTAAAAAAGTATTCCACATCTAGGAAATTTTGATAATATGGAAGCTATGTTCTATTATCCTATTTTTTGAAAACGCAGGTCATTTATTATATGAACTGTATTTTTGAAAATAGTTTCAATTTGAAATATCTGAATTCTGAAGGGAGACTAGAAAATATTTTCAATATATCCTATCTTTGGATATTTGTTTGATTTTCAGAGGAATATTTCGCTTTGATTATTAATGATTGTTTCTTATCCAATCATCATTGATCGTAATTATAACATTTTTCACTTTTACTGTTTTTCTTTATTTTTTAAAGAAACCAAATAGGGAGGAAAATCCTTTCAATTAAAGCAGGTTTAAGGAATGATTTGGGAGATAAGAACAAACATTTGATAGGGGATTTTTTTTTTGATTTTTTAAGAGGACTTAGGGAAAATTCATGTATAGATAAATTTCATGAAACAGTTTTATCCAGGTATCAACATCATGATCTGACTATACAAGAGGTGTGCACTAGAATAAATAGAATAAAAGTTCACCCAAAATCCTATTCCTGCATTATCTTCTATTTTTACAATGTTTAGGACAATTGACATAATTCTCAGAAAGTCCTAATTGTTTTTTTTCTTTTTATTTGAGAAAAGGATTAATCTCAAATTCTTCTGTTATATACAGTAAGGGGTTCAAATTTTAGGTGTTGGTCTGAAAACTTTTTCCTTCCCTTGTAAAATTTTTGTTTTGAGGATTACCATTGTTTGACTGATTGCCCTAAATATTATCATTATTATCAAATTTTTAACTTATACATATTTTATAATTTGCTAATAAAGCGCTTGCATGAAACTTGCATGTCATCATGGCAACTTAACACCCGATGAAGGAAAAGGTCCTCTTAAAACTTCACCACACTGTCTAATTAAATATGAAAGTACACTAATGTGATGTTTAAAAAATTAAATCCAAGGGTATGATTTGCTTAAAAATTTAAGTGTGAAAATGTGAACCCATTTACAGTAAAATTTTATTGCTATTTAGACAGTTTGTGGTTCTTTTTATGAAAGAAATTAGAAGGTTATTATGTAAATAGGTTATTTTATTAAAATTATAGGTTATTTTGTATTTTTTTGGGAGGAGGGGGAGGGGTGGAGGTTGTAACCTTGAAAAATAAAGGTCAATACAATCTATATTGTCATTATAATTAATTATTTTTGTTCAGCTATTGTTTGCACTAAGTAGCGGAGTAGCTCAGTAAGACACTGCTCTGGTTCCCGGGTTCGAATTGGGCTAGGGCTGATAGTTATTTATTCTGTAGCATTAGCCATAGATCGACCCTGGGTTCAAAGGACCCTCATGGGGCACACCATATATAGTGGGTACTTGTAATTACATAATTTATTTAAAGAGGATAAACCCGGTGGTTGAGTAGCGTGATGAAATTACTACCTCATCCTTGGCTGAGAAACAGTACTTCCTTTCTAAGACCCTTTAATAGTTGTAACGGGAACGGTTAAACTATCTATTTATTTTCGGAATTTATTTATTTTCTTTTTTTAAAATAAAAACTATGTTAAAGAGGCGTTTCCCCAATCCTAGAAACATTATTTAAAACAATAAACATTGTTGGGTTAAATTACCAATAAATTAATTTAAATAAAATATTGATACAAATAAAAAACAAATGCTACAACTGAATATCTATGAAAAACTGCAGAGAAACAATAAGAATAAATTGAATATTTAATAACTGACCGTTGCATTTTAAAGGAAGGAAATAGTGCGGGGTGGCGGTCATAAATAGGCTAAATAGTGGTAAAACTATTTTATTAAAAGCCGACGTTTCCATCCGACTTTGCAGGTCTTCTTCAGGGAGGTGTGTTCAGCTAGGAGTTTCACTTAGAACTTCAATTCTAACTGAAATCTAGTTCTAACTAACTGAACAGAACTCAGTTCTAAGTGAAAATCCTAGCTGAACACACCCCCCTGAAGAAGACCTGCAAAGTCGGGTCGAAACGTCGGCTTTTAATAAAATAGTTTTACCACTATTTAGCCTATTTATGACCGCCACCCCGGACCATCTCCTTCCTTTAATAAGAATAAATAATTTATTTCTTCATTTTAGTTCTTCAGCACGTCATTTTTCATGTTTTCAAATACCCTATCATATTCCTAGAGTTAAAGATTTCATTTGTTAGATAATTTGGAACTTAAGCAGATCCTTTTTAAATCTCAATGTAGGTTATTATCATGTAACGAGCGAACGATTTAATTTTGACATATATTAGTTAACAAATTTCCTCTAATAGTATTTGCTCATGCATTTTTTTTTTAATCGGTTTTGTTGAGAGAAATGAAATATATAAATTATTTATTGCATTTTGTTTTTAAAAACGTTTATTCGTAGACACTAACCAATCAGTCGAAACCTTTTATCAAATTAGTTGAAACATATTGGAAATTTTTTCATTTTTAAAAAGGCTTACTTCCATGATTCGTATCCATGTTTTAAAGACATCTTGACTGAAAGATTTGGAATTTATTAGTTGTTCACTCCAGCAATCAAACAGTATACTTTATTATTAAGTATTCGCTCTCAAATTTCTATATGTACTCATATCGTTTATTTTTATTTCGACTTATCAATGCAGACTTAGAAACAATTTATGTTATTTTACACAAGAATATTCATTATTGATATTTTGAATTTTGTCCAGCTATATCGCCCAGGACAGCGAACTGTGCGGAAGCATAAACAAAAACAAAAATCCTGTGGGGCACACTCAGCCTTTTTAGGTCGGAGAAATAAAATAATACCTTTGCAAGAACAAGAAATAGGCGGTCGGATAATCTAATCATGTTTTGAGAGTAAAATAATAGTTAATTTTAATCGCTCTTTTATTTGTCAAATTGATTATTTAAGAACATATTATTTGATGAAATAATAATTTCAAAAATAATTTTGCTCAGATCTGATTGAATGGTTTACTAGTCATGTTCAAAAAATTCTTAACGGTGATTGGTTCTGTTTCATGCAACTTTGGCAAAATTGCCATTTTTCAGAATTTCTTTTTAACAATGTTTCTATTATAGGTGGTACTGACTCCTTTTTTTAATAAAATTATTAACACCGTATGAAACTTTGTGAATGGATTCATGTTATTGTAACCCAACAGTATTTTATTTACGAATTTTTTTGGAAACGGGACGTTTTCAATCTGGAGTTCATTAAACTTCATCCATTAGATGGTATACTAAAAACTCATGAACAGCCAGATGTTTTCCACTTGAATCCTAAAATAATTTTTTTCACATGATCAAGAAAAAAGGTAGCCAAAAAAATATATTATTTTTGGTGGTCATAGGGCTAACAACTCTATTCCGGTAAAAAATCATTTACGAAACAGAAACAAGAAGATAGCTGGATGGATCTACGTCACGCGGAAAAGGACTACTAAAGCTGGCAACTTGAAATGTAAGAAGTTTGTACCAACCTAGAGTTAGTTAAGGATTGGAGAGAGAGCTGCAGAGGTATAATATGGACATTGTGGCTTTACAGGAGATTAAATGGAAAGCAACAGAAATAGTCAACCTGAAGGAATACACAGTGATTCACAGTGTTACCACAGGGAAAAATAACTTGCTGGGGACGGGTTTCATTATCAAAAAATCGATTAAGCATGCCCTAATGAATATTAAAAACATAAATGAATGAATATGTTATATTAAGATAAGAGGAAAGTTCAACAATATATCCCTGATCAGCGCACACGCTCCGACAGA